TTTTTTAACTTTTCCACAACTGCTGGTGTTTGTAAACTCTGAAACCATGTTTTTGTTTGTCTTTTTAGTTTCCATCATGTGAATATATTGTATTAATAGTTATTTTTTATATAACAGTTGTCATTCAGGTGTGTTTTGTTAGATTAAAAGAATCAATTGTTTCTAATGTCTCTGAGTTTTCATTGAAAAAGTGGAACGAATGTTCACATCAGCAGACACACTAAACAGAGGAAGAAGAATTACTCAGACCGTGTACTCATTTTATTTATTAATCCTCAGGCTTTAAGAAGCACACATAAATCTGTTAAATCTGAGTTTCAGGTCATGTTGCAGCTGGTTCAAAGCAGAAGGAGCAGCCGAACCGAACGCCCTTTGCCCCCGCACAGTGTAGACTTCAGGGACCGTTAGTAAAAACAAGTTCTCAGAACGGAGCTGATGGGTTTTCAGGGTCATTTATATAAAAACCTGTCTGAAAATGAGCTGATCAGATTTTGGCCACTTTATGATGTCATAGCGATTTTTTGGCTTGTGTAACCATCACATAGCGTAAGTGCAGATGGATTCGCAAACCACCGCAGTTGTCTTTTCCTAAATCCCGATGAGTCCCCCTATCATCTTTTGTTAACCCAGTGACGTTTCTCACAGAGGTTAAGAAATAGTGGTTAAGAAAAGATGATAGGAGCAAATTTTTGGACAATTCAACCCCAACCTGTCTTCCCGTTAGTGTTTACTTCCTGTCGGTCTTTCTCTGACGTCCAGCTCACTGTCTTTTACCCTCTTTCCTTCTCTTGTTCTCTTTTTTCTTTTCTTTACTGGAGACAGTTTAGCCATCATGAAAGTGACTTTAGGGACCGTTAGTAAAAACAAGTTCTCAGAACGGAGCTGATGGGTTCTCGCACTTTTTCCAACAAGGCAAGGCAAGTTTATTTTAGGCAATTCAAAGTGCTTTACAAAAATGAAAGACATTAAGAAACATATTATAAAATGGCATTTAAAAGCAAAGATATATGAATAAAAGTGACAGTGCAGTGTGAGACACATCTGAAATGTTTAGGTCTGACTCTCAATCATTGCTAACTTTTTAGCAGATACAGTTTTCTATCACCTCCCTTTCTTTCTACTTTCTTGTTTAACTTGTCCTTTAGTTATTTCAAGTGTGTCATGCTAAACGAACCCCCCTTTGGAAAATTCTAATCTGACCCCATGGTACCTTTTTAGTTCTTTGCTTTTTTTTTTTCCAACATGAAAATATGCAAAAATAAGGTGGAAGAGCACAAAGAATAGCCTCATAAATATAGTGTGCTACTGGTTTTGTCTACGGGTGGTCAGAGAAGACCATGCAACCCGAGCATACAAGGAGCAATGGTGCGTTCAAGGGTTTTAAGGTTTGTAATGATCAGTGGTAGAAGGGATTAAACGAGTGTCGGCATGCAGAAGATGCATTTATATCAACCACATCACCGGAGTCCAGCACCGACATTAAGGTTGCAGCAATAACTCTCTTTTTGGCATCAAAGGAAGAAAAAAAATCCTTAATTTTTACACCAGTCGTTGAATGTGGGGCTTAAAGAGAAATAATTGTCAATTAGGACTCCAAGATAGGATTCCATCTTTGAACTATCTTGTATTTTAGGACAAAGTATTTCTACTTCTGGGGCCTCATTTATAACGCCTTGCGTAGGATTGACGTAGGAAGGTTGCTTACGTAGTACAAAGCACAAAAATAGGTACATAAATTTTCCGCCATTTTCCGATTCACAAAACATTGCGTACCGGCGAGGGAAGTGCGTACGGCACTCCCTACGCCTGTTTCCCTTGAAAAATCACAATCGACTCGTAACGCCCATATTTGCCTATACATAGTCAAAGAAACGCCCATTCATTCATTCATTTTTGACTGACTGCATGAAGAAGATCGCAGGAAATTACGATAGAACAGCTAAAAAAGACATCTCACACCGTGTCAGATTTTGGTTATTGTGGGGAGGTCGAGATAAATCATATTGTTTGGTGGATGCAGTTTGAACCAGAGTAGCAGCATGGAGGTCGGATCGTCACCAAAATAAATAAATAAGTGGTCCGAAAATAGTTAATGACAAAACAAATACACATAACCTTCCTCAGGCAGTGTGTTTGTCCCGGGGACAGGAGACACCCCCTTGATGAGAAACTGTAAGAAATGATCGGGGAATCCCTCCGGAGTGGAGTCATGACGACTGGATCTGAATTATTTTTGTTGTATTTGGTGGTTTGTGTTCCAGCTGTCGATCAGCAACTATATATCCATAATCCACCAGTTAAAGGAAATACAATGTATTGTGTTATATTAGCTGTACAATTTACCACATATGGTGTTCTTAGTTTCCATACCTCCTGTGTTTTACGAGCGACTTATCAAGTCTTGGCAAACGGCATAAAACACGATTAAACGTGATAGTATATAAAACCATGCTCGTATCTACAACCTATAGAAATGCAAAACGGCGTCAGTTTAGACGTTATTCTGTCCTCCTGCTTACCGCATCATTTATGAGAAAACATTTCATAACATTAACACAACATATTCGAGGTGGTTTTAAATAGCATATCCGTATTTATTTATTTCTCCAAGTTATGTTTTTGTGTGCACTGAGGAGTCTCAAACAGGCGTTTGTTTAATCATTTTAAGATTGGCTTTAATCAATGTTTGAAAATGAATTCTTCATATTTGATAAATGAGAGGTAACATTTTATTTATGGTATTATTTCCACATATTTCTCTCCATTCTTCCTTCTGCCAACGGTGTCGCAGTTTCTCGTCTCTCCCGTTTGTGTGCTTAGTGCGTACGCATGGGTTAGAGTTTGCGTGGAGGACAGCACATTTTCCCGTCAAGTTAGTATTTTATAAATCGCAAACATTGCGTAGAAACTGGCGTACGCCATTTTTTGAGCGTATATCCCTTTATAAATGAGGCCTCTGGGGCCTCATTTATAACGCCTTGCGTAGGATTGACGTGAGAAGGTTGCTTACGTAGTACAAAGCAAAAAAATAGGTACAGAAATGTTCAGACATTTTCCGATTCACAAAACATTGCGTACCGGCGAGGGAAGTGCGTACCGGCACTTCCTACGCCTGTTTCCCTTTATAAATCACAATCGACTCGAAATGCGGCGCAGCTTTTGCAGGCTTCACGTAACGCCCATATTTGCCTATAAATAGTCAAAGAAACGCCCATTCATTCATTCATTTTGACTGACTGCATGAAGTAGATCGCAGGAAATGACGATAGAACAGCTAAAAAAGACATCTCACACCGTGTCAGATTTAGGTTATTGTGGGGAGGTGGAGATAAATCATATTGTTTGGTGGATGCAGTTTGAACCAGAGTAGCAGCATGGAGGTCGGATCGTCACCAAAATAAATAAATAAGTGGTCGGAAAAAAGTTAATGACAAAAAAATTACACATAACCTTCCTCAGGCAGTGTGTTTGTCCCGGGGACAGGAGACACCCCCTTGATGAGAAACTGTAAGAAATGATCGGGGAATCCCTCCGGAGTGGAGTCATGACGACTGGATCTGAATTATTTTGTTGTATTTGGTGGTTTGTGTTCCAGCTGTCGATCAGCAACTATATATCCATAATCCACCAGTTAAAGGAAATACAACTGTGTTGTGTTATATTAGCTGTACAATTTACCACATATGGTGTTCTTAGTGTCCATACCTCCTGTGTTTTACGAGCGACTTATCAAGTCTTGGCAAACGGCATAAAACACGATTAAACGTGATAGTATATAAAACCATGCTCGTATCTACAACCTATAGAAATGCAAAACGGCGTCAGTTTAGACGTAATTCTGTCCTCCTGCTTACCGCATAATTTATGAGAAAACATTTCATAACAGTAACACAACATATTCGAGGTGGTTTTAAATAACATATCTGTATTTATATATTTCTCCAAGTTATGTTTTTGTGTGCACTGAGGAGTCTCAAACAGGCGTTTGTTTAATCATTTTAAGATTGGCTTTAATCAATGTTTGAAAATGAATTCTTCATATTTGATAAATGAGAGGTAACATTTTATTTATGGTATTATTTCCACATATTTCTCTCCATTCTTCCTTCTGCCAACGGTGTCGCAGTTTCTCGTCTCTCCCGTTTGTGTGCTTAGTGCGTACGCATGGGTTAGAGTTTGCGTGGAGGACAGCACATTTTCCCGTCAAGTTAGTATTTTATAAATCGCAAACATTGCGTAGAAACTGGCGTACGCCATTTTTTGAGCGTATATCCCTTTATAAATGAGGCCCCTGGTCTTTAAACACTCGATTCCATGTAAAGATCCAGAATTCAAACTAAAAGTGCAACAAAAACAAAAAGTACTCATGTAAAATGACCCATTTCAGAAAAATATTAAGTACAGAAGTATTATCAGCCTAATGGACTTCAAGTATCAAAGTAAAAGTAGCCGAATGGTTCCTGTTTTTATCACATGAACAAACTTTTTCATCTTGTAGTTTTTCAATATGGAGCCAATTTCAGAGACTTTGTAGAATACATGATTGATATGTTATATTGATATGATTAATATAAGCATAGTGTGTTTATATATAAAAAAAGTAACTGAGTGTTAAATAAATCTAGTGGAGTAGGATTATAAAGTAGCATGAAATGGAAATGCTCAAGTAAAATGATGTAAATATAATACATTCTGCTTGATGGGTATTTTTGCATAATGACTGATATTGCAAAACAGCTGATTTCCCCTAAAAACTCCTGTGACTTAAAACATATTATCTTGTGTATTACTGCCTCATTTGTGGGAAGAAAAAAAATGCCACCATGTAAATTATTGAGTGCTTAATCAACTTCCTCTTTTGTATCCACACACGTATATTCCAAAGGCCTGTTTGGCAACTGTAGAATAATTACTCTGTCAGATGAGTAGTTGGAATGTATTTTGTGCATTGGCATGAAACAACAAGAAACCAGGAAGGTGTATTTCCCCGAGACCACGCCTCCTGAGAGTGACTCAAGATAAGGCGATGCACAGCAAGCTGAATCCATATATTGACGGAGAGATGGCAACTACAGGTAACATCCTCACACTGCAGACATTACACTGGGAGACGCTGTCAGATTACATTTCTAAAAATGGTGTATTACCACCAAGATTACATTGATAGTAACAAACTAAAAAGAGCAAAGAGTGTTTGTTGTATAAAGGTCAGATTGGATTTCTTCTCTGTAAACTGTACTGTTCAGTAGGCTAATACTTTAAGTGTGAATCTCTACGCCTACTGCCTGAATCTGCTTTATGGTTTTCACTTTCTTTGGTTCATTTGTTCTTTTTTTATTCAGCAGGTAAACCTATATGTTCATAAAATAGTGTGTGTGAGCTTAACTGTGTGTCTTAACTAAAACAGCATTTTCTGTCAGCTCAGATTTTATTTCTGCTTATTTTAACCGTAGTATATGTGCTTATGTGTTTCATTGCATTTGATATTGAGGTAATCCAAAATAAAGTATCCAGGTTACATAACTTTCATATTTTGATCCTCAGAAGGATTACATGATCCTCCCAACCCTGCTGCTGATGACATTTTCAAAAAGTATTTATTTTATTTCTCCTCAGTGGAAATAGTGTCGAGGCAGCAGTGGGGGGCGGCTGCTCCGAAGAAGGTGCCGGATAAGATCTCCTGTGCTCAGAGAGTGATCATCCACCACACGGACACCCCACACTGCAGCAGCCGCAGCGAGTGTGTGAGCCGCGTCGCCAGCATCCAGAGAGGGCACATGACTGAGAGAAAATGGGATGACATCGGGTACAAGTGAGTAGGGACATGTGGTTTCTGAGTGATGTTCATACAGTGTTTACAATGTGGACGTAATGGAGGGACACTTAATTATGTGTTATTTCTCTTTAGTTTGGACCTTTTTTTCCAATCCTAGGTCCTTAAAGAGGCCCTATTATGTGTCTGGTATTTCCCCTTCCCTGTAGTGTGTTCTATAGGTTTGTGTGCACGTAAATGGTCTGTAAAGGCTAAAATCCCTGTGTTCTCTCCAGACGGAGTTTCTCTCCCACACACTGAAACGAGCAGAATATGCCCTCTAACCATAAACTCTGCCTGTGTTTCAGTTTCCTGGTGGCAGCAGACGGGGCGGTGTTCGAGGGCCGTGGCTGGGGCGCGGTGGGGGCTCATGCCAAAGGCAACAATCATGACTCACTGGGGATTGCCTTCATGGGCAACTTTAAAAGTAGGTGTGCTCTTAATCTTTTCATCCATTGTGCAACATAAAGACAAGGTTCTCACGGGTCAATGAGTTCTGTCTTTTTCCTAATGAACGGAGATCATTTGTAGGGAAAATATCAAGGAAATAGAAATATGTCATTGGTCATTAAAGCGACTTCAACTTGGATATTTAGAAAATGTTATCTTTTAATTTCCTTTTTTAATGGAATGCACTTTTCATACACAAAGTGCTTCACCAACAAAAACAAAAAGAGAAAAATAACACTACCACATGTCACACATAACTTCATGATTAATAAATACATGAATACCAATAAAAGCCAACATATAGAAGGACTGAATAAAATAAGAATAAAAGGAATTTAAAAACAGAAAATGAATAAAATAAGGATTAAAATTTAAATTAATTAAATTATTTCTGGGTTTGTATCTTTGTGGTGTATTGCACTTATTGTGAGTTACTTTGAATAAAAGCATGAAATGTAATGTGTTAAGATGTCACATATGATGACGATGCATTTTTTATATTTTAGGTGAAGCACCGAGCTGTGAAGCGCTGGCTTCAGTCAAGCAGCTGCTGCAGTCCGGCGTGTCTCAGGGCTTCATAAAGCCCCAGTTCGGCCTGTGTGGACACAGAGATGTGGGAGACACTGAATGTCCCGGGGCGAAGCTTTACACTGTGCTGCAACAACTGAAGAGCACATAAGGCTTATCTTTAAAGGTTTTAAGGGCCAATCAGTTCCCTGGCTTCACAAAGAGTCTGTGGTAATGCTATAAACATGATCATTCAAATAAAACATTAACCCTAACTTTTTCTCTGTGCTTCTTTTTTATCATCTGAAATAAACAGAGGTGGATTAAGAACTGCGATTCTTTTTTTATGAAGTAAAAGAAACCAAACTAAATTGAAAAAGTAATCTGTTACAAGCTAAAGTCCTGCATTCAAGAAGTGACTTAAGTTACAAGAGTATCGGCATCTAATTATACTTAAAGTACCAAAAGTAAAAGTACTGGTTATGCCTAAAGGTCCATTTCAGGATCATATATATGAAACGACTGGATTATGATCCGTGGTGGAAGAAGTACTCGGATCCTGTACTGAAGTAAAAGTAGCATTAATGTCAAAATACTCCATTAAAAGTCCTACACTCTGAAGTACAGGTCAGCAAAATGTACTTAAAGTATACAAAGTAAAAGTACTAACACTGCAGAAATAAATATGTGATATAATATTATATATATGACATTATTAGATTGGTATTGTACCATCAAGCAGCATTTTACTGTTGTACACAAACAGCGCTTTGATACACACATTATTCATGTGATGACTTTTTTGTAATATATTGTATAACTTTTACTTTCTTGTACCTTAAACAGTTTGTCCACTAGTACCATTTTTAGAGATGCATTATGTTCAAAGTTTATCACATGCTTTTTGATTCAACATCTGAAAAGTCACTAAAGCTGTTTAATGAATGTAATGGAGTAAAAGTATAAGGTAGTATCAAATGGAAATACTCAAAAAAAGTACTCCAAAATGTAACTCAAGTACAGGAACTGAGTAAATGAGTGACTTTCCACCAGTGGTAATAAGGGAATGTTTCGCAGGCTGACAGACAGGGGGAGCCACCACTACAGGCTTTAGCTCTGCAAACAATATTCAATTCATTCATTCAACTTTGAAGTTGCTCACAATGACTTATGGGTAACACTTTATATTAAGGTACACAAATTAACCATCAACTAGTTGTTAATTAACATGCATATTAGCAGTATATTGGCTCTTTATTAGTCATTATAAAACACTTATTAATGCCTTATTCTACATGACCATATTCTACAAGTAATAGGCCATTAGTTGAGAGTTTTTCCTCAATAACCCTCTAATTAGTGCTTATTTATTGCAAGTAAGGAAGTTGTTGTACATGAGTTTTGGTCTTAATATGCTCTGCTCAATATGGGCCTAATAAGGCAGTAGTACCACAAGAATAGTAATTCTCCCATAATAACACTTAACAAATATGATCTATTCTTATGTAACAAGACATGAAACTATAAGTGTTAATTGTGTCTAAATAACTCAAAATTAGGTATTTATATCTAAGAATATGTTCCCTATTTTAAAGTGAAGTCTTGTTCATAACCAATAAGCTAGTAGTTTGACTCTAATTGACCTGAACAGGTTCCCTATTCTAAAGTTGCCTCCTCTTCACACTTTGTAAATACATTATAGCACACAACTACTGAAATTAACCTCAACAGTACATGAACAAAGTAGGCACACGTTGACATATCAGTTTTATTAATGAACCACTAAAGAGAGGTTCAGACACATACCAAAACATGTCAAGTTTCTCCAAGGCTGAGAACACATAGGCAGCTTCTACTTTTTAATAAAAACAGATTTTTAACAGATTGTATGTATTCGTGATCATACTGTGTGACCTGCTTGTATGTACTTACTTACACACTAGGTGTACTCTTCTCTCTATTTGTTGTACTGTCTCAGTGTGAACATAGATTAAACAGCCAGCCAAACTATTTTGAGAGCCAGGGAATGAGCAGCCATGCTCCTTTATTGAATTATTTGTCCACTGACATTCAAACGGAGTGAAACTATAAAAAAAGAAGTTACAAGGCACTTAATGATCTCTTACATGCAAGTGTAACATACACAGATTAACACATGGGACCGCTAAGTGTAAACAAGGTAAATATAGGGGAAATTAGTAGCAGTCTACTGCCATGCTATTCAGTTCACTTTCTCCTACTTCCTGTACCCGGTTTCTTGTCTAACCTTCAGTACAAATTTTACAAAAATATAAATGTGCAAATATGAAACATACAGGTCAATATCATCTTGCTATTGGTAGCTGAACCGTCAATACCCCAAAACATATTCTTAGATATAAATACCTAATTTTGAGTTATTTAGACACAATTAACACTTGTAGTTTCATGTCTTGTTACATAAGAATAGATCATATTTGTTAAGTGTTATTATGGGAGAATTACTATTCTTGTGGTACTACTGCCTTATTAGGCCCATATTGAGCAGAGCATATTAAGACCAAAACTCATGTACAACAACTTCCTTACTTGCAATAAATAAGCACTAATTAGAGGGTTATTGAGGAAAAACTCTCAACTAACGGCTTATTACTTGTAGAATATGGTCATGTAGAATAAGGCATTAATAAGTGTTTTATAATGACTAATAAAGAGCCAATATACTGCTAATATGCATGTTAATTAACAACTAGTTGATGGTGAATTTGTGTACCTTAATATAAAGTGTTACCAACTTTTTTAATTTGATCACATTCTTTAACTTTCCGATGCTTCTTTTTAGTGCAGTATTAACATGGCAGGCAATACATTTCAGTTATCTTTGCTCTATAACAAGGCATTAGGCTCAACTTTAAAAGATTATATTGCTTATGATTCAAATATTTTGGAAATAAATGCTATATTTTCTGCACTATTTTACTTTTTTACTAATGTGAGGCCTACAACAATTGTCTTTGATAGAGCTGTGTTTTAATGCAATTGTACGGTGGCCGACAGGTTCAAACACGCTACAACAGCCGAAAAGTCAAGTCAAAGTCAACTTTAATGTCAATCTTTCTCAGTTTGTGTTTACAGACAGAGAGATCGAAATGACGTTTCTAACAATCCCGAATGTAAAATGATACAGTAATACAGATATGTATAAAATATGTATATCCTATATTAGAGCTGCACGATATTGGAAAAAACTGACATTGCGATTTCTTTCCCCCCTGCGATATATATTGCGATATGAAAACATACAGGAATTGAAGAAAAAACGTTTTTTTGTCCGCAAACCATCCTTTCTTGAACTTTAATGCTATACAATTGGTATTTGTTTAACTATATTTAACCGGATGAAGGATTTTAGTCACGGACGTCTGGATCTTAAGTTATCAGAGCAACAAGCTGAGCTAGCTCGGTTAGCAGCGCCGAACTGCCCTGGAGAAACACATGAAACTACTTTATTCAGTGTTTTTGCCTTTAATCACCGGTCCGTTTGCTTTGGAGATTTGATTGTGATTGGTGGTTTGCTGTGCATGCAGAGCCTGCATGTCACTCACTCAAGTACCCCTGACATGAGAGCCGCCCAAGTTTTCCTTTTGTAGCAAGCAGCAAAATAATTGTAACATGACGTGTTTGAGTTAATTTGCCTATTTAATATCGCAAGTCGTAACACATTTTTTTAAATCGCACGTCGCATATCGCGATTATCGTCACGACACGATATATCGTGCAGCCCTATCCTATATACACAATCAACAGACACATTTACACATATGCACACATTAAGATAAAAAACAACAACAATCAATATTCACAAAATAACAGTCACCTCAATCTCAATAACTTTGGTGCAAGATTGTCCATAAAATGTGCATTTATTGCAGATTGTCCATAGCAGCGTAAAAAAAGTGTCTTGTGCTGGATTTTGAGTGTCTGAGATTTTGAATTCAGATTTTAAAACATTTCCATTAGGAGAAACACATTGCAGCTTCAGTGACAATACAAATATAAAAACAGAAATGTGCCAAAACACGTGCAAATTAAGAAACATCTTCACCAATGTACAACGTTTACTAAAAGCGCTGCATAAAACGCTGCAAGAAACTCAAAACATAACGGAATTGAGGGTTTAGTGACATTCAGGGATTATAAAGTTGTCCAACTGTAACTGTTGGCAGAGTTTAGTCTGTTTCATAATAGAGGCTGCTAATGAGAAATCACTGTAAACAACACAAGACATGATATTGAATATTAAACAAAGAAATATAAACCAGGGGATTACAGGTATTAAGAAAAACAAGGTGTGCTTTAGAGTCTGAGACATTCCCAACAAGTGCTCACTTGTGTAGCGCGGGGATTATGGAGGAAGACTCATCTCAAATAAACTAAAGAGGAGATGACAGATTAAATGTGTACTTCCTCATGTTTGATGTCTGGCATATGAACTGTCAAACACAGCATAGGAGGGGATTACTTTAGAACAGTATTTAACTGTTTTTAGGTTAGTTTAAATGTGAAATCTGTTGACATAATACATTTAATTAAAGTCAACGTTTCCATTTTTCCATGTTGGGGAGTATTGGATTGCATGTAATGAGTAATCAGGATACAAAAACAAAGATTCCCTACCCGTTACATAAAACAATATGTAATCAGATTACTGTCACATTTAAAACAATTGGAGATTTATAAGTAAGTGTTAATAAAAAATGAATTGTCAGGTTGTTAGGTTTATCTTATATTGATTATTAAATAAATAAACCTCACAAACTGACAGTTTTTCTTTCAACAGATTAGTGTTTCTTGTGGTATTATTACTTTACATTTGGATCTCTATACTTCTTCTACCTGTAGTTTATGTTGGGAAGTTAATCAAGTAATTTCAGTTTCTTTTAAACAATAACATGTTTAGTAATAAGTGGAATTACCCTGCACTATTCACAGATATTTCCAAGCGTTTTACTTCTTTACGAGATCCTTTTGGGCCACACATCTTCTTATACTTTTAAAGGCATTTTGCCAAATCATGGTGTCAGAGAAGGTGCACAGGAAGAAAAAAAAGAGCGCGATGAGGCCAGCCCCGAGGGAAAGGCTTGTGCAGGGTTGAGTTTCATGAGTCCCGGAAGTGTTATAAGTGAACCCGAGAGTTCACCGATCAGTCACACAGATTGACAGCATTTAATCCTTTAAAAACGCCTCTTTAACTCAAGTATTATCCAGTTTATATGGATGTGTTTCTTTTGACAAT